CTAAACAGCCGCTGCCCGGCCCGGGCGCTCGACGTTTTTGTGAGAGCCGAATTCAGACGGGTAAACACGCTGGTCCGTCTTCTTTTTATGGCCGGAGGGAGCCGCTGCAGTCACTGCTGTACTGAGGAACATGATGAGTTGCATTAATGAGCCTCTCTGGGACCTGTGAAATATGTAAAAATTGTTTGGAAGCTATAACGCCATAGAAGCCATAGCGTAAAGAAAGCGTCAGCAGCTTCCATCATTAACAAGGTATTTTTTTGCCAAAGGTTACACTAGCGGGCCACTTATTTTCCTTTGATTTTACACAACATTGTCACCGTGTTGGCTTCCCCCAGCCCGATGCGACCCTCGTCTCACTACTTTGTCTCAGTGTGTATTGTCCAGTGTATACGGTCTGCAGAGCTCAGAGGGTTGGTCGACACCGGCCCTAGTCCCTGGTGCCGCCCTCCCCCCTCTCGATGTCTTCCGTTCCCCTTCCTGGTGCCGTCTTTTACGCACCCGGTCCTCGGAACTCACACGGCTCGCCGTCCGGCCTGTGTCCGTGCCCCTCCGTGCTGTCCCGGCAGCTGTGGATGGGAGGCAGCTGGCAGGACTGACAGCGCCACCAGAGATCAGCGAGCGGGCACAAACGCTGAGCGACAGCGGCAGCAGGCCTCCCTCCCCTCCCTCCCCTCAGGGCGACCCCCCCCCCTCCCCCGACACACCTGTGCCCGGAGCTTCAGGAGCAGACGAGCATCGGATGGCCTTGATATGAACATCGGTGGGTCGATCGTTTAGGGGAGGTAAACGGCGCACATTTGGGGGAGGTAAATGGAGCACCTTGAAACTTCTTCTGGTTGTAATGGCAGTTTACTTTGCAAACCCCGTGCAGGCCGTGCAACAAATGTGCAATCCTTATCTGGCTGAAGCGGGCCAGCGACGATTGAATGACCATTTTATTGATCACTTGGCTTGCCTTTTATATCAATCTATCGACTTTCAATTTCCTATTATCGATCATCTTTGTCCTTTGACTTCTTAGTTATAACTTTTGACCCGTAGTGTAGTATCTGTTGGTAGTTCGGTTTCACTTTCCACTTCATTTCCCACTTTCCGTTTTGCCACTATGCCGCCTTGCCACTTCCCGTTGCCACTTGCCACTATGCCTCCGGACACAGCTGGAAAGACACCGGGACGGCTGTGAGGAAGGAAGCCGGCGAAACCCCTCAGCGCTGCCGGCGGGATTTGGCCGTTCATCCGTGACCGATATCGATGTGACCCGACCCGACCCGACCCAGCGCATTGGCGTCAATACAGCCGTCGGGCTAATATGCCTAACGGTCGCTTCACGGATACGATACGACACAGTCCGTCTATCGTCTATTGGTCTTATCCGTCTAACCGTCTATCAGCTGTGTGCGAGTCTATCTGACCGACATTGGGCGTGGAGTCGGGCGGCCCCACTCGAGCACCGGCTGATGGTACCATTAGCCCGGTGTCCGCCCCTGCCCCCAGCCCTGCCCCAGCCCCCAGTCGCGATGGTGGCGGATGGCGATATCCGATGGCCCTGCCCGACGGTCTCCCTATCAGCAGTCATGTGGTTATCAGTTATCACACCCAGTCGTAGACCGCACACCGCTTACAGGTGATAGATAGCTACATACTCGGCCCCGCTCCAGGCGCCACTCTGACTCCACTCTTGTGCTGAGTCACCGACTCCTCTGACTCACTGACTCGGCGCAATGACTCCAGCAGGACGGCGAGCCGTCACTGACCTTGATGACGTCACCGACGCTGACGATTGTGACGTCATCCGTCGGCTCTCGTTGGGATGATGTCACAGTTGATCTGCGGTCGGTGACGTCACCCTGCGTTGTCGATGTTGGAGTTGTTAGGTACATAAAGCCATGTCATCCATGGTTAGTGGTCCGATCGTCACGAGTGACATATCGCCCGACATTATCGATGATGAAAAATCCAACCTACTTATCGTCACAGTCGTTTATACTTTGTTCGTGCTGTTCGGCTTAGCTGTTTGTGAAACAGGGGAAGGTCGTGAGCGCCGGTTTTCCTCAGATGCTGACCGCTTTTCGGGCGTGGCTCCGCTTTTCAGCTCCTTCCTGGACGGCTGTAGTGACGTCATTTCAGCCATTATTTGGGCCGTTACGTCCCTTCTCCCTGGAGGTGGGCCCGACCGGTCCCGTGGCGGGACCCACGTGGTCGCTCGGGCGCCGCCTGGTGGCTGATGTGGCTAGGCCTGGTGTTACGTGGCTGGTCATAGTGTAACGCTGGGTGACGTGGTCCGGCGTGACGTGGCCTGGGTGACGCTGTCCTTGTGCCGTCACGAACAACCACTGCCCGTCACGCTGATGTGCTCCGTGGATAGAGTGCTGCGTGAACACCATTTACTGGTTCCCTGAACATTCACCCTGAACATCATTCACTGGTTCCATGAACTTAGTGAACATTCCCTTGAAATTTGGAAAATAATAATCCCACCCTGCGGCCTGCTCTATCTGAGATGAAGCGACTGAGAAGTATGATTGATGAGATGAGTTCACTATTTCACTTACCCCGAGGACCGTGCGATTTTAAAAATGTATGAACAGAACAGCGTAGCACGGTTCCAACATTATGCGTATTACCTGCAGTCTGCACTATTTATAAACACTATAAATGGCACCTGGGCGGTAAATGGTAGTTCATTTTGAACCCGTTTCTGCCGGCCTCTTCCCGAAATTGAGTAGTTCCTTACTGACGGGCTAATCGTTCAAATTTGGATGGATTGGATTGGATGTATCCGCGATGCTATGTTACTGACATAGTCCGTACCACGAAGTACTTAGCTTATAGTCCTAACCGAGGTACTACCTAGAGGTATAAGTAATTTTGGTTTTAACATCGTGATAACGGAAGTGGCTCGAGGACATAACAGACGCCTGCATTTTTACGATATTGTTATTTTACGAGATATTATCACTTTTAGTCATCGGAAATCTGTCGGAACGAAAAGCTCGATCTGCAATATTGGCAGGATCGTGACCCAAGTCCCACTTAAAACGATGGTTTATCTGCTTTGTCTTTGTCGTCTTCTCTTCGACAATCATGTTCGGCTGTCTGATGATAAGAATTCTCACGGCGATGTCATTATCAGAGTTCACCTTTGACTCTTGAAGTCGCGGTTGGGGACCAAAGGCCAGATACGGCCGAGTTGGAAGCGCTGGTCAGATACAGCTTGTGGGGGTTCGAGGCCAGTGTTCCAGAATCCACAATCGACCTTGTTGGGGTCTGTGGTTGGATATGATCTCTTTCTCCAGACTACTGGCAAACATAGCTCTTTACGATATGCATATTTCCGCCGTTTGTATTTGCTCTGCACAAACTAAACTGACATGCCCCTCCCGTATCAGCAGGGTAGCCAGCTGGTAAATCGCGTCTTGTCTTTGTTTCCGTGATCAATATCGGCCCGCGGCTTGTATTGACCACTCGCTGACGTGGCTGACTGTGAACACTGAACAGCGACCGTACCGCCGCCAGCACAAGGCCTCAGCGCCGCGTGTTCGACGGCGCCAGCTGACTGCGGCGCACGCAATGTTACGTCACACGCGGTTAGACTGGCCTTGGCGGCGCTGACTCACGTCCGTTGTGCGCGCACTGGAATCGGTGTCTGTTGTCGGCGTATTTGGCAGACACGACACTGGAATCGCTGCCTACTGCCTACAAATCAGGCAGACACGACACTGGAATCGGCGCCTGCTGCATATAATCCATAGGTAGATAGGGATGCGACAGACCCGATGCCGGAATCAATATTGTTGGAATCGATATCGATACAGCGGTTTCTCGTATGCTGACTAATGAGCTGTAGGGCTGGGTCTCGGCCTGCGGACAGCCAACGCGATGCCGAGTGGAGTAATTTGTAATCCACCCACGGACATTACCGGGAACGTCCGGTGTTGTGTTTGCCAAAACTCCCCTGTCAGTACCAAAGGACGACCCCGCCGGTGTGGTCATTGCCTCGCCTGCGTCATGTCAAATTCCTGAAGGCAGCCCCGCCGTTCTGGCGCTGGTCCTGTCTTGTGCCACCCCACCTCGCCCCTAGCTTCGTCATACGGCCATACCCTGATTCGGCCTGTTCGGACTTGTCCGGCGCTGACCGCTTCGAGAGGACCCTCCTCGCCTCTCGGACTCTGTCTGCTCTTGGCTGGTTCTGCACTTCTCCCCTCCACAGTTCACGTGATTCACTGCGCCTGGCTCCTTCCACCCCGGCCGACCCTGTTCCCGTCGCGTCGATGCGTCGTTGTCGTCGCGTCTGAGTCGCACCTGGACAGAGGCGGCGCGTCCCCCTGTCGGCGGCCACGCTGGCCTCCCGCCCGCTGACTCACACCACCCACACGCGGCTGGCGACTTTCTGGATAGTTCGCCGTCATTAGCTGCTGAAGTGTGTTCGGTCGCTGGTCACCAGGGTGCGATGGTCATGCTGATTAGTTTTGCCAATGGACGCGGGCGGTGTAAAAGTGCTGACGGGGACGGGGTCGGAACATGCAACAGGCTCGGGGCGCGGTCGATACAGCTGAGCAGGTGTGATCGCCTGGTGCTGGGGCTGGCCTTTTCGGAGACGCGATTACAATGGACATGATGCTAGACCAATCGGGATTTCTTTCCAGTATAGTGTAGGGAGGGATTTAGTCTAGGGAGCCGCTCAGTGGCGTGCTGCGCCTCCCGACCTGCCCTACCTGACGCCGCCCGTGCTGACCGCGGGCGCGCTGTAAACCGCAAGTCAGGGCGGCGGCGGCGCGTCAGCTGAGTGGGTAGTCAGTCGGCGCCGGGCGCCCGACGTTGGAGGACGTGTTCCGCCGTCTGTGGGCCGCGTGTACCGACCTGTAGCGTCTGTACTGAGCTCAGACATGTGTCTGGCGGTGGGGTCGACGGCGCCGAGCAGCGCCGGCTCGGTCACCGCCGCCCCCTCGCCGCGGCTCTCCCCCGAGCAGCGTTCAGCCGTGCTCTCTCTGCTGCAGACCCTGGACGGAAGCGCGGCCAGCACGAACTCCAGCACCAGCAGTCGACACGAGAACGGCCGGCGAAAGAACAAGAAAAAGGTAAGGGACGTTAGTGACGGGTGGTCATCCGACCTATCCACCCGCTGTTAGCACAGCTCTTGCCACGCTATCAGCTGGAGACCATACTTGTTTATCATGCAGTCCCGTGATCATATGATTCGAGATCATGAGTCACCATCATTTGACAAGCGGCTGCTGGCCCATTCATTCACTTTGAGTGATAAACATTCCCATATTTGGTCAAAGACTGCCAACTGTGTGTAGTTCCTCTTTTCATGCCTCTGTGCCCTCTCTCCCACAGTATCTCACAGTCAGTTCGTTCGCAGGTTTTGCGGTGTTTTTGTGCTCCGTTCTGACTCCAGTCCCGGTGTCGTGTTTCATTCCGTTCTGACCCGCCGTTCCCATTGTGTCTCCGTCTCGGTCCGTAATGGTGCTGTCCGTGTCGAGACCCGCCGGTCGCCATCGATCCTGACCGTGGACCGGCGCTCAGGGGCTGAGGAGGTGGGCTGGCCGGCCGCACTGACGCCGCGTCATACCGCCTTATATGGCCAGACGGGTCGGTATCAATGCGCGAATGCTGTGGGAGGGCGTGTGCACGATATCTGTCGACGGAGTGACTGTATATGGGACGGTGTTACGGACCTATGTCTGTGTTGTATCGGTGTGTGGGAGTGGTTTCCTGTCTCGTGCTGTGTGGCGGTCGTCTGGGGCCGATTGTGACACTCACGCTGGTGATGTCTGTAGCGGCGTGTCGGTGACCGCTCCGCCGCTGTTCGTGTGTGCCGGTGACTGACCCCCGCCCGTATCCATCCCCAGGTGGAGCCGCTGGTTACCACCGAGTCCGTGGAGAACTACCAGGGCGACAAGAATGTCGACTACCTCATCCAATTCATCGAGTCGGGCGGCTCCAAACTGACGGCGCCGACCGAGAAGAACGGTCGCAAGGCGGAGCGCGCCGGCCGCCGGGAGGTCAAGGGCCGTCGGCCGGCCGAGGAGCGGCCCGGCCGGCAGGATCGGCGCATTGCCCGCCGCCAGGCCGCCAAGTCGGCCGCCGCCGCGCCCGCCGCCGCCTCGCGCAGCTCCAGTGTCGAGTCACAGCCGGCTGAGGAGGAAGGTGCAGACCAGAGCCGCCTCAGTGGTGACCCGGCGGCCGGCGCGGCGGCGCTCTGGGCCCGCGATGGGGTGACGTATGTGTCTGCCGCGCCGGCGCCGGCCGGGGACGGGTTCGTGCGAGACTTCTACAGTGTGACGGACGAGACCGGTGTGCCTGAGGAGAGCGAGTTCCACGTGGTGACGCGCCGGCAGCGGCGCCGGCCGGCCGCTCGGCCCAGCTCTGGCCCCGCACTGGACACGCAGCACGCCCCGGCGGGACCGCCCGGCTGGCGGCCGAGCCGGCCGGGCGCCGCCAGCAGACAGACGCACTCAGCCCGCAGTGTGACCAACTCGGAGGAGACTTCTGACGCGGACAGTGACGGTGCCGCCAGCGCGCCGGCCGGACGCGCTCCGCTGCCCTCCGACAGCGGCGTCGCGTCGGCCGCCTCCTCAAACTCGGCGTCGTCGTCGGCGTCGTCGGCTTCCTCGATCTCGTCCTCATCGCCGGGATTTTCGGCGTCCTCCTCGGCGGCAGCCTCCTGGGCCGACGTGGCCAAACCGAAGCCCGCCGATGCCACCGCCCAGACAGACTTTATCGATGGTGTGGGCGCCATTTTTGGTGACCGGCCGCCGGCGCATGCTGGCCTGCTGCGCGGTGGGGCGGAGTCGCTCGACTCCCGGGTCGGCAGCGCGCGGCGAGAGGAGTTTCCGGCCATTGCGGTGGCGCCGGTCGCGCCCACGGCAGCTGTGGTGGCCCCCGCATCCTCGCCGGCGCCGGCCGCCGCTACTGTCACGCCGTCTGAGTCCCGTGTATCAACAGCGAGCTCTCCCGTGGCGCCGGCAGTGCCAGCACCAACCAGTGCGCAGACTGCGGTAGTGGCCGCTCGGGTGAACGGGGTCACCCCGTCGGCGGCGGCGGCAGCAGCAGCGGCGGTGGTGACGCGGACCAAGCGCTCGCCGGTGGTGGAGATACCGGCCGCCGTGCTGTCCGGGGACGGTGCTGCCGGGCCGGCGAGCATACAGAAGGTGGCCGACATTCAGTTCGGCTACATTGACACTCCCCGTGCTGAGGCCGCCTCCTCACCAGCTGAGGTCGAGGCGCCGGCCGCCGTCCCGGTGCCGTCGCCTCAGACCGAGCAGGAGCCCGAGTCCAAGGCAGCGCCGCCTGGTGTGGACGGCTTCTGTCGAAGGTTCCGCGCCCAGCCGGTAGATGTGTCTCAGTTCAACTGGAAGGAAGTCAGTGTGTTCCTCTCTAAAGGTGAGTGGCTCTGCGGACGTGCCTTATCAAACGTGTCTGGTTTGGTTGCAGGCCGGTACGTGTTTGTGTGATGTTTTTGATCGCGAATGACAGCTTGATTTGGGCACGAAGGGCTCGTGTGCTGTTATGTAATCGGAGCCGAAACCGGTGCAACTGCATATTTGCTTCGCTTGCAGAGCGCATCGGGGGTATTCACGTAACATTCCGAGCGGTATTGCACCCTGCTTTTGGTTATCGTTGTTTATCGGTATTGCTAGTAGTAAATCATGTGTTTTGTGAACTCAATTATATTTCTGAGGGCAGATTGTTATGACGAATTGAACTGTCCGTAACTTGTCTAGTAGTTCACGTAAGTTCACTCCCAGTTATCATCAAGGCACTGAAGCTGTGAAACATTACCAAAGTTTCACCATACCTGTGCACTTGAACTGATCAAATAATCTACAGGGTGCGGCATAAGTTCTGGTACACTTTTTCTTTTATTAATTAAAAGATTTACAACAGGCTTACAGAGTTGAGTATTTCAGTAGAGGATCTCTATGAAGTAAAGTCAAAGCACGTGTGATATCATGAACAAATATTTACTAGCTGAGCGAGCTGAGCCTTAATTAAACAAATGGTAACTGATCGCCCGACAGCTAAGTGCGCACCATGCCGCCTTTCTCCCCAACAAAGAAGTTCGCGGGGCCATCGTCTGCATGAAGATAGCGGATACCTCGGTAGCAAAGATATGCAGCACGCTTCGCTGCACGCGGAATCTTGTGTATCGGACGTGGACCCGGTACCAGGAGACCCAGAGTACCGGAGATCAATTCCGTTCCGGCCGCCCCCGGTCCGCCCGCACGCCTCAGCTGAAAGCCGGATTGTCTGCAACCCCGAGCGCATGCGCCAAATGGCCCGGGACCTAAATGTGTCCGAGCATTCCATGCGCAGACTCATTTCTAAGGATATGTGCCTGAAAAGCCTCCGCAAGAAGCACGTTCACTCTCTCAACGCTGCACAGCGCCACAAACGGAAGGAAAACGCTCTCAAGCTCCTCCGGACCGGGGGCGGCCGGAACGGAATCGGTCTCCGGTACTCTGGGTCTCTGGGCCCAGGTACTGGGTCCACGTCCGATACACAAGATTCCGCGTGCAGCGAAGCGTGCGACATATCTTTGTTACCGAGATATCCGCCATCTTCATGCAGACGATGGCCCCGCGAACTTATTTGTTGGGAAGAAAGGCGGCATGGTGTGCACTTAGCTGTCGGGCGGTCAGTTACCATTTGTTTAATTAAGGCTGAGCTAGTAAATATTTGTTCATGATATCACACGTGCTTTGACTTTACTTCATAGAGATCCTCTACTGAAATACTCAACTCTGTAAACCTGTTGTAACTCTTTTAATTGATAAAAGAAAAAGTACCAGAACTTATACCGCACCCCCCTGTAGTTGCGCCGCTAAGCGTCGTAGATAGTGTACGGTATGATTATTCGATATCTCAGACATAAGTTATCCGACAAACCAGGTCAATTTTTATGTTTTTTCCTCCATTTTTATGGAAAGTTTAACAGCTTCTAGGCAGCATATTGTTATATCCATATCAAGCTGTGTTTTGGATCCAGTTTGTGCCGGGCCTCACACACCACTGAACCCGTCTAACCTAAAAATAACAATAAAAACGCTCTTAAGATTGATGATGCTCAAGTGGTTTGTCATTTGGGCGTACAGTAATGTAAATTGTTACATACCGTAGTTACATTTCAACTTACAATTACCTTTCACATGCACCATAGCGCAGTGAACCGCGGAGTTGTCTCCCCTGTCGTGATTATCGGGTCACGGTGATGTGCGGAGCGTCACGGTTTCATTGCGTCTGTTTTTGGAGCGTCGCCTCTCGCTCATTAAATTAGTATTTACATGGCCATTTGTGGCTGTTTGAGCTGCGGCGTGTTACGGGAGAGGAGTTTTACCGATGAGGTGATAGGTTTCCGGGCTGAACTTACCGCTTGGCTGTTCGGCGTAGCTGCCCTGCCACACTTCACTGTGGCGTTATGCTTTCTTGTGCGGTTTGTTCTTGCTCTCACCAACTGTCACTGTTAACACCGCCCTCATCGTCACACACATGAATGCACAAATCCTTACCAAGCCGTGTTGCTCGTCATTAAACTCAGTTTCTCTGGCTGCTAAGGTCTGCTGTTCTGTCTCCCCCTTGTGTTGCAGTATATTGATTCCTGTTGTGTTGTAATCGATGATATACCAACCCAAGACTACTCCATGCCGCCCAGCCTCTCCCCAAGTCATGTTGCAGTGATCTGACCCAGCTCCTCTCTGTTGTATTTCGGCGTACGCCAAAGCTGTGGGGTTGAACCTCGTCTTTAGAGCAATGTGCTGACCCCTCTCTGTCATGTTCCAGTGTATGCCGAGACTGTGAGGTCCCCAGAGCAATGATCTAACTTTCCTCCCCGTCTCTGTCACGTTCCACTGTACGCCAAAGCTGTGAAGTTACCTGACGCTCGTCCCCAGAGCATTGATCCGACCCCATCCCCCTCATGTTCCAGTGTACGCCGAGGCTGTGAGGGTGACCGGCGCGCAGCATTGATCTAACCTCTCCCCCTCTGTCGTGTTCCAGTGTACGCCGAGGCTGTGAGGGTGACCGGCGCGCCGTCCTCTGAGCCGCAGCGTGCCCAGCGACTGTGATGTGGCCGCCGGGCCGCCCCGGTCGGCCGGCGCCCGCCGCTGTGATCGAGACTGTGTGGCCGACGCCCGGTCCCCTCTGGTGTGACCGAGCTCCTCCGGCCGGCGGAGAGGTGTGTGTTGTTGGATGGTGGTCAGCCGACCGCCCGAGTTGTTATCGTTGATGTGGAAAGAGGACTGAGAGGAGGGAGGCGCCTCCCGCTGACCGACTGCGACTGCGGACGTTCTGTGATACTCTGCGCGGCCGTGCGGCGCGCCTCAGACTGAGTGTGAGCGGCGCGAGTTCGGACACCCGCCAGCGCGCCCGGCCGCCCCCGCCGAGTGAGACGTCTGTCAGTGCTGCGCGCTCAGTGAGTTGTGAGTTACGTGGTGGGAGTGTGACGCGAGGTCTGTCAGTGGTGAGCGCTCAGTGAGTTCTGTGTGTTCTGTGAGAGTTATCCGTGAGCCGCGGCTGTGCCGTGTCCGGTGGCTGGCCGCTGTCGGCGCTGGGCAGAGCCTGTCTCCGCCCCCCGGCCGGTCGGCCCCGGCGGCCGCCGCCCGCTGTTCACTGTGTGTCACTGTGCCGCCCCCGCCCCCGCCCCCGCCCCTGCTCAGGGCGCTGTCGAGTCACCGGTTGTGAAGTTCTGGGCGGCCTCAGCAGGTCGCCCTGCGCTGGCCACGGTCGGTGCTCCCGGACCGTGGCCCCCCACTCAGCCCCATCGAACTGCGTTGCGTCTGGAGCTGCGCCTCCTGAGCTGTGTCTCTGGAGCTGCGCCTCCTGAGCTGCGCCTCCTGAGCTGTGTCTCTGGAGCTGCGCCTCCTGAGCTGCGCCTCCTGAGCTGCGCCTCCGGAGCTGCGGCTCCGGAGCTGCGGCTCCGGAGCTGCGCCTCTGGAGCTGCGCCTCTGGAGCTGCGCCTCTGGAGCTGCGCCTCCTGAGCTGCTCCTCTGGAGCTGCGCCTCTGGAGCTGCGCCTCTGGAGCTGCGTCTCCGGAGTTATGACTCCGGGACTGTCTCCAACGTCAATACATGATTGCATAATGAAACGTGTATCTATTGTCCGTAGCGGCTCATGAACAATACCAGGAGTGCCGGGACGGTGTGAACAGAACTGCATTATTATAGAGGTGTTCATCTTCCAGTCGAGAAAAGTGATTGGTAGGTTCAAGCTGGCGTTGTGTGTCAGCTAAAAAAAACGTAAATATCTCACTTGCTCATAATTGCCTTGGCTACAGAGGGACAATAAAAGCTCACGCTTTGATCTCCAAGCGATTCACCTAATGTGACATTACCACCAGAGGGCACTGCTCAAAGCCGTGCCTGCCTTTCCCCCATCGCCCGCAGTCGAAAAATTGCCAGATCTGGTGCCAGTCGTTCAACCACAGTCCACACACTCCGTTGATTGCCGGGATTATGAGCCTCGCGTTATATGTTACCTACTTAGTTTTATGTTGAAAGTTGTGAGACAGGTCGTTATGGCATTGTCCATGAGGACCTCCAGCAGAGTGGTGTTACGGTTATCCAGCCAGAACAGGCGCCGACACGGCTCTATCGGATATGCATATTTTGCATCATTGAGCCAGATAAGTGTGGGGTTAGGGGCACTGGGCAGTGGGATATGGATGCTTTGCCTGATCGTTGGCTTGGTGCGATAAGCGATGTCTCCCTGCATTTATTACTGGATCCATCTCCATCTGATAGGCTCGCCCAGAAGACATGAGCGAGCCTGGCTAGTGGCTGTCGCTTCTAATGGCCGGTTGGGAAAAAAACGAGAGCTTCCTTTAGAAATTTGGAGAGTGGAGGTGGACAAGGGTTTGTTGTGCAACTATCTTCTCAATAGTTACGATACCCGTGCTGTTCGTGCGATCTTAGCAATTGGCCTCTAATCACCACCAGTGCAGCACCATCGGTTCACCTCTGCGGGGGAGGGCTATCTTGACAGGTGCGTCATCTAGCGGTGAAGAAATGTCCCTCTACCGGATGGCTTGGAAAGCTACCCCGCCATCCTGTGGCAGCTGTCTATGGCAGTGGTTATCGGACGCGAATCGCAATTGAAGCTGAATCATTGACGAATCATATTTTTGTGTAATGATACCCGAAATGTGCCAAGTTTTCCAGAATATTTTGTTTAAAAAGCCAAACGAAGTGAACAGTGAACACTGAACACCAACAGGAATGCTAAATACCATGCCGCCGTCCAAGCTCACTCGACTTGAGATAATTTTTTTTCTCATGCCTTGTCAATTTGACTCACTCACCCCTCATCAACATTAGACCTCTTATACGGCCTTGCTCAAAGCAAACGGCATGACCCCAGTCCCCTACTATTCCCAGTCCCACTTCCCCTCCCCGCGACATTCGCTCGCGCCAGATTGATCGGTCAGAAACTTCCGTAGAACCTTCCTGGATTCGACCAATCAGAAGGCAGGATCGTTGGGCATGTTTTGATGGTGCACTATGGTTTCAAAGGATAGGAATGGAAAGTAGAATAATTTATTTCATTTTTTTTTGTAATTTCAACGTTTCTTCAGGAATTTCAATTCAACTTATTTCTTTTCAATTTTCAACAAATTTCTGATCATAAAATACGTACAAATTCATCAGAACTGCCATTATAGCTTAAGCATTAAGTTATTGTCGACTGTTACTACCAGCTCCACTTGGGCTCCACAATCCTTCCAAAGTGCGCTCTCCGACTTGCGCTTTCCGCTGGGAGGCGGTGTTCTTCACGTGTTTGAGGCGGTTTGATCGTGTTCGTATTTGAGGCGTTTGGGACCTGTAGGGGGGTTGAATTCCTTGGATTTGTTTCATTTCTTCGATCCACCAAGCAAGGTAAGACATTTCGCTTCTGTCTGCCATCAGCTTCTGAAAGAATCTCGATCTAAAAGTGCTTTGTCGGGGTTGAAGATATTGTGTAACATACCTAATGAATTTGCCACAAAGTTCAAGTCATTTGATGTTTGCTATCTTTTGGATGAGTTTGCCATGATTTTTTACCCAAGGAGCTATCTTCACAACCTAAGCGGAGTGTGGACTGGACATGGGACTTGTTTCAAGTTGCATTATGCTGGGTTTATCATTTCATGATTGATGTATTGATGTTTGGTTGCTTTTAGTAAGATTTTGGTTTTTTATGTATAAAATGTGTAAATTAAGTTGGTGTGCCCATTATTTTGTAACTGTACCTTGTGGCACAAGATACAGGTGCTTCAGTCAAAGAAAATGATGAAGTAAGATTTTACCTGGAGGGCAAATACCTATACCTACTACCTAGAATGTAGACTGGGCTCGGCTTTCACCACAATCTGTCACTTGACGCTACTGCATATTGGCATTATGCTTCCATGGGATGGACAGTGTAAACGGTGCCTGATTTGAGCAAGGCTCTCGAAATGAGCACGTAATAATCATGTTGTGGAAGGCATTATATGGAGAAGTTTGTAATAGTCATGTGACTGTAATGTCCTCCAGTGCCCTGTTTTCACCATCCCGTTTCCATGGTAACATATATTCAAAATGTTACACATGACCTGATTTACCCAAGCTACATTAATCACTTGTTGAGGAGTTCTCTAGACCACTTCCTTGAGGGCCTAACACCATTTTCAACACCAATTGATCAAGTGCAATTTCATGTTAGGATCTTGACAGGATCTGAAGTAAAAGAATGTTTAATTTTGGACATTAGATTGTCTGAATGTAAGGTGAACTACCTGGTAGGATACATACAGTATTCTGGGAGACAAGAATGGTTTTGTCCACATAGTGGGATAAACTAGGTGTCATCAAACATTTTTAACATTAAGTGGATCATAAGCTAAGATGGTTTTACCAATATCATGTCACCAAAATTATATAACATCTTGTTACGTGTTCATTTGAAGCTGCATGGATCATATTGGCTTTGGCTTCAATGTCCAAACCCTGTGTTCTTCAGATTTTATAGGATATTGCTCACATTCATCAGATAACCATTACGTTTCCAGTCCTGCATTATTCAGTAGAGGCCCCGATCTGTCCCCGAGTGCTGCCGGCGGCCGGTCCTCCATCACCCCCCGTCTGTTGGCAGCAGTGACGTCACCATGACCGACCGGAAGGCCGTGATCAAGAATGCCGACATGTCGGAGGAGATGCAGCAGGACGCGGTCGACTGCGCCACACAGGCCCTCGAGAAGTACAACATCGAGAAGGTGAGATGTTCTGCGATTGCGAAATGACGACGCTCGTTTGAAGTAGGGTCATTCACGCTGGCGTCGTGGTGTGATATCGTTACTATCGCTTTCATAAGACTTGAAACTGAATTTGCAGAAATGGCAGCAGGGTGACTCTTCTATGGTATCCGTACTATCGATTACAGCTCTGATTACACATGTACCTTGCAAGCTATAATCCGACCCGTCCTTTCAACATTTTACCTTCCCATATGCACTGTGGGCTCCTGTGATCGGGGGGCGACCCTTCTGTGCTGGGGTGGGGTGGGTAGGGGGGGGGGGGGAAGGCAGGGTGCGGACACCGCTGAGTCACACACCGGTTGGTACGCCGGGGGGCGGAGTGCAGGGCCCCAGCGCCGAGCTCAGTCCCACCTGTGTATATTTGTCCGGTGCACTGTTTATCGGACCGCGGGGCGGCGAATGGCTCTGCCATGCCGGCCGGTGAATGGGTGGGTCTGTAACGCCAAGAATGTGCAGGGTGACAAGCCGCGCTGCTGCAGCTGCCAGGCTCGAGTTTAGAGGCGTGTTGAGGATGGAGCCTGAGTGCTGTGAATGCGTTCCCGCAGGATATCGCGGCCTTCATCAAGAAGGAGTTCGACAAGAAGTACAACCCCACGTGGCACTGCATCGTGGGACGGAATTTCGGCAGCTACGTGACGCACGAGACCAAGCACTTCATCTACTTCTACTTGGGACAAGTCGCTATCCTACTGTTCAAGTCGGGTTGATTTTGTGCCAGGTCATGTGCTATGTTTTTGAAATTCTTGTGTACTAACTGTCCTGCCAAGGAGGTGTTCTGTTTAAGTTATTGCAGACAAAACGTCGAGTGCTGATCATGGTAGCACCGGATCACAACGCTTTCATTCCCTCTCTCAAGTACGTGATTATTTTAGTGATTGTTTTGTTGTAAATAATGCGGTACTCATGAGTCGGGATTATTAACAATTAACGTTAATAAAACAGCTTTAGACCGGTGATATAAGCATCGAGTGTTTCATTCGTCACACGGTACAATTGGCTGGGCGGAGTCAATTATAGGCTGAACCGTTTCTGGAAATGTTTATTTTACACATCGTACAGTTTCGCTGGTATGCAGCCCTGCAACACCACTATGGGAAGCGGAGTATTTTCTCACGGAGCGGACAGTAGAAGCAGAGTACCGGGACTGGAGTGACCTGCGGCGCGCGCCGGCCGGCCGCGCCGCCCCCAGCAGGGCGGGGTGGGCGCGCCCGGCCGGCCGGCAATGACTAGCGGGGCCGCGCCGCCGCCGGGCCTGGCTCGCCGGCTGCGCGGTGGACTACACGGAAATGAAAGCACACGACGTGGCGGCCGGGCGGCGGTTAAATAACGCGGTAGAGCGGTTTCTCGGTGGTGTCCGGCTTCTGTTCGGCCGGCCGGCCGGACGAGCCGAACAGCTCGTGAGAGAAGCGCGGCGGCCCGGCCGAGCCGGAGCTGAACAGACTGCTGGCCGCCGGCCGCTCGGAGAACGTCGGCGGCTCGGCCGGACGGCTGAACGTCGCCGCCGCCATCAGCGGGTCGTCCAGCACGCGCTGCGCGGGGGCGAGCGTCGGCCGCGGCGCGGGCACCGGTGGCGGCGGCGGCTGCGCCCGGAACGACCCAGTCACGGCCGCGTCGCTGGTCGGCTCGTCGGCATGGAACGAGCGCTGCAGCTCGTCCCCGGTCATCGAACTTGTCATGGGGTCATGCAGCGACCGCTTCAGATCATCACCGGTCATGGACGCGGTCATTGGGTCATGCTGCGGCCCCTTCAGGTCCTCTCCCGTCATGGACATAGCCATGGGGTCGTGCAGCGAACGCTCTAAATCCTCGCCGGT